AATGCCTCGGAGCTGCCCGCGGTAATGTCCCGTGCCGGACGGGGAAGGAGACGCTTCCCTTTCCGGCAGAGGTTGCCCGTCCCCATCCAGAAGCCTGTCCTCTGGGTCAGACTGTGCAACAAACGTTCTACTGGGTGTCTAACGTGGCTACGGGACATTAAGAACTATCAGTTTAAGGTTGACGTCAAATTATAATGTTCTTTTGCGGTACAAACACGAAGCCTCTTTCTTGAGCTTTTCCCTTATAAAATACAGCTCTTATCACACTTATTTTTAAACATGCTCTGAGGTGTTCAGATGCTTGATTATGGAAACAGGAAGAGCACTGTATAATCCTCAACACTCAGGGCAAAAGAATTGGTAATGCTGGAGAAAAAAAAAATACTGTCTTTTAAAGCAAGGGTTTAAGCAGCATGTGAGCAGGCCTTACTGGATCTCTTCCCTTCCACACAGTTGGCAATTGAATTATCAGCACAAAGCAAGGCTACAAAGGGATACATTTCTTGTGAAAATCTTTTATGACCAAATAGTCAACATATCAGCATTTATAGAACAATCTGCAACACACACACCCTAGAAGGCCATCAGCCGACCTCTGTCCCCTAAAACCTAAGCTGACACCAAAGTCATCTTGATAGTAGTTCTTTTTTCACAATCTTATCAAGGATACTTTCTTTGCTCCCTGCCTGATGCAGGGAGAGGAGAGGAGAGGAGAGGAGAGGAGAGGAGAGGAGAGGAGAGGAGAGGAAGCTGATAAGGGCTCCCTCAGAGCTCAGGAGTAAGTCAGGTGTCCTCTGTCTTCCAGAGCTAAAATAGTAAAACTCCTCTGAACTACCCTCCTAAATGTAATCTCAGCAACTTTTGTCAGTTTTTTTCTCTCAAACTCTTAGTGGATTTGCTGTTTTCCCTCCTTCAAATCCTGCCCAAATGTTGGCAAATAGGGGTACAAACCAAAATATTTCTGTCCCGGGTCTCTGCCTGTGTTGCTGCTCTGCAGAAACCTTCCCGAAGCTCTGGCATTTTCTTTGCTGGAAAGTGTCTTCCTTAATCTTTGTCTTTTTTCAAGAACAGAGCTTTGGAATTCACACTGGATCAGCTGCTGCACTGCTCTCTGTGAGCTCCTCTTGTCCCTGCTCTTCCCGTTGCTCACCAGTGCTGTCCCAGATAGCAGCTCAGGCTGCTCCTCCATTAGGTCAAGGTGAGGAGTTTCCTGGGAGATGAGCAAAAAGAATGGCTACCAGAGTTCATCATAGCCCAGTGGAGGTCTGTTTCCATGAAAAATGGAAAAAATAGGATACAAGGTGCTCTAGAAATAAAGCAGTAAGATCTGGAAACCTAAGGTTTGGACTGTTTTTCAGTTACCATAACCAGCCAACCAAGCAAACACCACTCTAGATGCACACTTAGAAGCCAGTTAATTCCAGTCTGATTGCCAAGAACATGGAGGCTCAACAGAGTGAAGCTCACCCATTCAGACCTGTCCCACCAAGGAACACCAGCTGCTTAGAAGAAAAACATGTTTCCAGGTCTTCCACTCTGGGAGTTTATGCTTGTCATTATCCTCAGTCACTTCATTACAACCAAAGGCGTTAAAAAACACAAGAGGTTATCAAGCACACGTGGAAAGCTGGAGTGGTTCTGCTGGCTGTGTGGATGTGTTGCAAGCACTAATTGCCTGGGAAGCCATGGAACAGGCTTTGGCAGCTTCGTGGGAGGCTGGCGGGAAGAAGAGGTGTGCACTGATTGGCAATACCACAGTCTGGCTGCCTTCACAGTATTCTCCAGAGCTCCTCTCAATCTAGTCCCCCATGCACAAAAAATACCTTTTTGGAAATTAAAAGAAGAAAAAGAACTTGATAGCACAATTCTTTGTGAAAGGAGTCCTTCAAATCTTATCCTTAAAATAATGCTTCCAAAGAAACCTGGGGTTTGTGCAGCACATGGGGGGAGTGAGAAAGGATGTTTAAAGGTTCAGTTTAAACACAGCAACTCAGATGCTTAATTCCCAGCTGATCCCAGAAAAAAAACCCTGAACGTGATGGCAGTTCCTCCAAGCCTGCCCTTAGCGAGATCCACCACAGAGGGATTCTGTGCTCTGCATTTCCATCAGCGGTCTTCTTGCATGCTGGCCCGGGATCCATAGCAGATGTTGGGTGCCCGTGCTGCTCACTCCGGGCTTTGCAGATAAAGATCTCTGACCTCACCTTGCTCTCACTGAGCAGGGAGCCTGGTGGAACACAGGAGGTCCTCAGCCCCAACACCTCATTCCTGGAAGGGCAGGAGGGCACGGAAGGAATCCCATCCTGCCTGTGTGAGAACACAGCAGCTGGCACTGCCAGGGTCCTGGGCTCTCTTGTACAATACTGCCATGAGATCAGCACCCACGGATGCGCGGGTAGGGCAGCTCAGGGCTCTCCCGGCTTGTCCTCGGTTCCGGCACGGCTGCGGCGGGACCGGGCCGAAGCGAGCCTTGCACAGCTGCCAGACACACTGCCGGGAAGCAGCCAGAACCTCCTGCAGCCGGGGCACAGCCTCCCTGCAGGGCAGGCTGCTGGGACTCGGGTGTCGCGGGCCTTCCTTCTGCTGAGCAGCCCGGGGTCGGGACCGTGCCACGGGAGGTCGCTCTGCCACCGCCGATCGGTGTCGCTGGCCCTGCCCCGCAGGGCCGCAGCTGTTCCCTCCGCACGGAGCCAGGGTACACTGTGTTCACTCCGAGTCCTTGATTAAACAAAATGTTTATGCGTGCCTCTGCTCCAGAAAACATCTTGGCGGCTGCACGCAGCTTGTTTGCTGCTGCTGCTCCAGCTGCACTGGAATTGGGGCAGGGTCTGTGCGATGCTTCAGGAGCCAGCTGGCCTTCCTGGGACAGTCCCCAGCCCAGGAACACCCCATCTGTCCCCGGTGCCTGCACTCTTCCATTGGAGGGACCTTGTCTGCTGGAGACGGCTGTGCCCCGCATCCCCTTGGTGCCAAGCGGCGCTGCTGCCCCTTTGGAAAGGCTGGGCGGCAGCATGCTTTGCTTCTTTACCCTGAAGGAGTGACACCCTCCTCACAAATCCACCACCCACTTCCCACTTAAAGCAGGGCTTTGGGTTGCATCTTGAAATTACAAGAGCAGCTAAGACATTTCCTGGGCTCCACAGTGCCTCCAGCGGAGCAGAACACTCCGAAACTGCCTTCTTGACATCCGGCTGCTGCACCCACTGATGATGGCTGTGTACAGCACCATGGAGTTTGGTGGGCTTAGCCAGCCCTGTCTGGGGCAACCACAGGGGCTCCCAGGGCCTGACTGCAACTCCATGTCCCCTGCCTGTTTAGCCAGTGTCGTCCAGGATGTGCCTGCTTTCTTCCCTGGCTGAGGGGCCTGTGTCAGTTGTGCATATCTGGAGTTAACTGGGAACAGGCTGGCCCTGCTGTGTCATCTCTCAGGCATCATGCAACCGCTGGTCTGTGCCTGGAGGGCAGCCTTCAGCCAGATGTGCTGTCACCACAATTACTCTGTTGCTCCAGATGATACCTCCAAACCCCTTGGAGGGAGTGGGCTATCTCCCTCCCCAAGCCATATACCCTGTGAGGATGGAGGAGCATGCCCTGGGTGAGTGGGGAATCAGCACGCTGAGATCATTTACAACCCTGCCAGGTGAGACCAAGGGAAGGATTCTGCAGGACTGAGAGAGGGCCAAGACCAAAGCTCACAGCTCTGTCCTTGAACTCAGGAGACCAGAAAGGAGAAGGTGTTGATGGCCACTCAGATGACATCAATCCACACCAGACTCCCAGCCTGGAGTGTTTCCCAAGAGCACAGGCTGTCAGCAGAGTGGGTTGCCCAAGCAGCTTGCGTGCCCCTGCCAGGCTCTATGCCATGGCTCTTGCGAAACGGTGTTGATAAACA